CTTAGTGCAGACAGATTTCCTTGGGAACTACATTTTCTCAACTCTGGTTGCATTATACAATGCGCAGCACATGTGCACTTACGTGCGGTAAGGTAAAGCACTGAGAATTTCTTCTTTTTTTTTTATAGGAAAGCCTTTGCAAAAATTTTACTTTTTTAATTTCTTTAATGTTGACTTTCTGGAGATGTGAGGTTTAAGTAGGACAATATAATATAATGGATAATAAAATGTGTGTGTTTCTTGGATGAACTTCCTAAAACTGGGAGAAAGAATAACTTACTCTCTCCTCTGTCTCCTGCATTTCTCTCTGTGCTTCATAATGATGGAGTTTCTTGCATGAGCAACATGTTTCTCACCACATGTAAGGATATCTCTCTCTCTCTTTCTTTCTCTCTCTCTTTTTTAGTCTCCCACTCTCCTACTCTGTGTAGTTCCTGGCAGGGCTACAGTCTATTAAACACACAGACAGTTGGTGCTCCCCCGTGGGCTCATTAGTGAACTGGCCCGCACGGCCTGGGGAATGCTGGAACAGACCATTCTAATAGTTCCCAGAGGGGTGCCAGAGGATTCATTATATTGTCGTGCTACAAAGTCCCTTGGCGTTGAATACGCAATGTGATGTCCTATGTTGGATTAATAGATATGTTATTTAAGCGATCGGTTGTGATTAGAGTTCCCTTGTGGTTGAACAGGATGTGTCTTTAATTTTGATAAAATGCTAAATAACCGTGAATCACAGCCTTACTGTTGATGCATTGTAAAATGCCAGAGGTATGTCCATGCCTCATAAGAGAATCAAGATTTATCTCAATTATAAAAGGTGCATTTTATTTCTGTCTTTGCAGGACAGCAGAGATTTTATTTTGCTGTTATTGGGGATTTGCCTAAATCTTTCCATGAAATTGAAAATATGGTGTAAATTATAAAAACACAGGGCTTAACACCTGATCTGACATTGTGATCTTTCTGATGAACAGCAGCTACAGTCAGTTTGAATGAATGTCTATCATAAAAGATTCCTATGGTGTTCACTTTCAGTTTTCATTCTATAACATGAAACATTTTATTTTGTCATATTTTGCCAAAACTGTGACTGTTTGAACTATACTGAGCACACAGATGGACAGCACAAAAGTGGATTATTTGAACATTTGTTAGTATTTCGGTCCATTGTAGACGACATGAATGAAGTTATAAACAAACCAAAAACTGTGTACTGCCAGTTTTCAAGCTAATAGGGAGGGAGTGAGTTTGATATTAAAAGGACAGATTTTCAGTGGAGTAATACTGTAATTGTTGGATTTTGGATTTAAATCTCTTGTTTCTTAAATGTTGTGCATTGCATGAATATACAAATGCATTGACAGCCAGTGCAGTTATGTGTGAAATACACTACAATTATGTTGCGAAATATTGTCTTTATTTTTATTATTTTTCAGAACTACCATGATAAATTAGCATGGTGAAATGAATGTTTCAGCTATTATTATGAACCTTTACCACAAAATACAGCTAACTGTGTTTTATGAATAGGCCCTATTGTATCTCATATCTGGTGAGAGTAGCGTCGAAGTGATGTAACACAGTGAAACACAATAATAACCTGACAGAGGCAATCACTCCCGTTCTACTTCCTGTCTTTCTCCACAATGACTTTCCTGGAAAAACTCATTTCCTCAGCTACAGAAATTTCATTAGCCTGGCCCCATTGTCTGAACACAAACAACTATTCTCTACTCAGGCAAAGGTGTGTGGGCACATACAGTATACACATAGTATACACACACAAACACTTGCACACTAACTCATACACACTTACATGCAACCTCTTTCTCATTTTTATATTGAGGTGAGGTTGAGAGCTAACCTAATTGTCAATTTGTAATTGCGTTAGTTCTTTGTTCATTTTTGCCTTTTGGTGAACGACATTTTTCTTTAATCAGTAGAGTTTGTAACTTGACAATGAACCAGAAAATGTGTTGCTCACAATTGCGTTGTATAGCAAAATAATTTTTGAACACAAAGCGCTATGCTATGCTCTGTTATTAGGATGCCTATGCACACATCAGCATGAAAGCTAAAGCTGCTTTACTATATATAGTACAACAGAAGACATCACCACTGTTTTTGTACTGGCCCTTTGGGTGAACGCAAAAGGCTTTTCGGGAAATAGTGTAGTATGATCTTTCAGTCTATATTGTCTCTATGCATGTTGACTATGTTAACTAGGGTCTTGGGTAGTGATGTGTAGACCCAGGAGAGGACACGGCCTTGTTGTCAGGTGTAACAAAAAGAGTTTATTTACAAACTGCAAAGTTAGTGGGGTTTTGAAGGGAACCTAGGGTTGGCAGGTGGAGGAGTGGATTGTGTAGCAAAGTTGCGGTTAAGGCGGCTGGCAAGCTATGGCTTGTAGAGGGCTGTTGAGTAAGGCAAAGTGGCTGGAAGAGCGAGGAGTGACACGGCGCTGGAAGTCTGCAGCAAAAGAGAAAAACAGAAGAGATCCAACTTGAGATCCAAAATGTCACAAAAAACACTAGAAGCACAAGAGAGAAGAAGTTTGGCCGATCTTTCAACAGAGTGGTAATGAACTGATTGCCAGCAGATGTGGAGCACATTTTAGTCAGACTCCTTACTTATTTTCAACGTTTTATTATCATCTAAACACATGAACTAAACAGGAATGATCAGCCTTGAGTGACTGAATGAAAATTACGATAAATGTAGTAAAAAGTGTTTCTGGCTGATAGACATACTCTCCGACCCTCTGACTTTTCTTATCTCCATGAGAAAAGTTATTGGGTGAATTAACAAAAAAAGTTGTATGTGGTGCTCTTGTTGTCTAATTGGGTCGACCGAGTACTGATTGGCATTTTGAGATAATCAGTATCAGCCAATAAACATACAGTGCCTTGCGAAAGTATCCGGCCCCCTTGAACTTTGACCTTTTGCCACATTTCAGGCTTCAAACATAAAGATATAAAACTGTAATTTTTTGTGAAGAACCAACAACAAGTGGGACACAATCATGAAGTGGAACGAAATTTATTGGATATTTCAAACTTTTTTAACAAATAAAAAACTGAAAAATTGGGCGTGCAAAATTATTCAGCCCCCTTAAGTTAATACTTTGTAGCGCCACCTTTTGCTGCGATTACAGCTGTAAGTTGCTTGGGGTACGTCTCTATCAGTTTTGCACATCGAGAGACTGAAAATTTTGCCCATTCCTCCTTGCAAAACAGCTCGAGCTCAGTAAGGTTGGATGGAGAGCGTTTGTGAACTGCAGTTTTCAGTTCTTTCCACAGATTCTCGATTGGATTCCGGTCTGGACTTTGACTTGGCCATTCTAACACCTGGAGATGTTTATTTGTGAACCATTCCAGTGTAGATTTTGCTTTATGTTTTGGATCATTGTCTTGTTGGAAGACAAATCTCTGTCCCAGTCTCAGGTCTTTTGCAGACTCCATCAGGCTTTCTTCCAGAATGGTCCTGTATTTGGCTCCATCCATCTTCCCATCAATTTTAACCATCTTCCCTGTCCCTGCTGAAGAAAAGCAGGCCCAAACCATGATGCTGCCACCACCATGTTTGACAGTGGGGATGGTGTGTTCAGGGTGATGAGCTGTGTTGCTTTTACGCCAAACGTTTTGCATTGTTGCCAAAAAGTTCGATTTTGGTTTCATCTGACCAGAGCACCTTCTTCCACATGTTTGGTGTGTCTCCCAGGTGGCTTGTGGCAAACTTTAAAGGAGACTTTTTATGGATCTCTTTAAGAAATGGCTTTCTTCTTGCCACTCTTCCATAAAGGCCAGATTTGTGCAGTATACGACTGATTGTTATCCTATGGACAGAGTCTCCCACCTCAGCTGTAGATCTCTGCAGTTCATCCAGAGTGATCATGGGCCTCTTGGCTGCATCTCTGATCAGTCTTCTCCTTGTATGAGCTGAAAGTTTAGAGGGACGGCCGGGTCTTCGTAGATTTGCAGTGGTCTGATACTCCTTCCATTTCAATATTATCGCTTGCACAGTGCTCCTTGGGATGTTTAAAGCTTGGGAAATCTTTTTGTATCCACATCCGGCTTTAGACTTCTCCACAACAGTATCTCGGACCTGCCTGGTGTGTTCCTTGTTCTTCATGATGCTCTCTGCGCTTTAAACGGACCTCTGAGACTATCACAGAGCAGGTGCATTTATACGGAGACTTGATTTCACACAGGTGGATTCTATTTATCATCATTAGTCATTTAGGTCAACATTTGATCATTCAGAGATCCTCACTGAACTTCTGGAGAGAGTTTGCTGAACTGAAAGTAAAGGGGCAGAATAATTTTGCAACGCCCAATTTTTCAGTTTTTTATTTGTTAAAAAGGTTTGAAATATCCAATAAATTTCGTTCCACTTCATAATTGGGTCCTACTTGTTGTTGATTCTTCACAAAAAATTACAGTTTTATATCTTTATGTTTGAAGCCTGAAATGTGGCAAAAGGTCGAAAAGTTCAAGGAGGCCGAATACTTTCGCAAGGCACTGTAAAGCCCTAAATTTCCTCAGTCACCATCATCTTTTCTAAATGTTAACATGTTTCTCCCATCCTAAATGGCAGCACTTCTAATCTAATACTGGCTAGGGTTAAATATATATTGTTATATTGTAGAGAGCAGTTGAATGACATCAGTTCTGACAAACTGTATCCTGCTCACCAGTTTCAGATAATATTTGAATATTGTTTAGGCTAAATTTGTGAGAGGACATGGACAGTCCTACTTTCTATGTTACAGCTATGTGTAGGATGTTTTGAAGTGAAATACATTAAATGGTTCATTTCCTGCGGTGAGAGCTCTTCATTCTCTCCTGTTGAAAATTGTTTATTGTGTTTTCCAGATTTAGTTATCAATATCAACTTAAATTCATCATTTCAGTTAATAATATATACTTGTTGAAAGTACCTGGTTCATAATTTTTCCAAAGTGGATATAAATATTTCATTTTATGTCTGTTTTGCAGGATGATTCCATAGTTCATCACATGGCTGCAAAAGCCATAGAGAACATCTCCACCACTGTCTCTGGCCCCTCCCATCACCTGGTTACCACAGAGATAGGCTCCGCCCTGTGGTACCTGTTCACTCACTCCACAGTGGAGGCTGTCAGAGTCACTGCCATCTCAGTCAGTTCACATGCATGAAAACAGACACAGATACATATGCACACACTAACATCTTCGTGGGACCAACAAACAGGCAGCCAAAACATTAACTGTAAATACGTAACTGTTTGTAACTGAAAAGGCAGACTGCTGGTACAAATTTAAAAAAATGTTTTTCAAGTTATTCAAACTCAAGGTAAAAGCAGGCAAAGATGCTTGAACTGCTTGTATTTTTGTGATTGCTGATGAAAAACTATTATAAATGTTGTCTCTGTTGTCTAAATAATGAAAATGAAAGACCTTCTAATGCTAATGTGACAACAAATGACTTATTGTAAATCTGCCAACTTATCTTTACACACCAAATATCTAGATGGGCACTTCCTTCTTAAAGCACTAGCAGCTTAACATCAGTGCAACATGGCATCATAAGGGAACAGAATCCGGTCTGTCCCTATGTCTCCAGTCTCTTTCTAGGTTAACCCGGGTGGTCCCAGCTGTCTTCTCGGCAGTGATTGACACCTGTGGCCCTGCGGCCATCTTGGAGGGCATGGGCGGAGCAGGAGCCAGGGTCCAGCAGCACCTGCTCACTGCTATGGCCACTGCCCTATTCACCTCACGCACCCAAACGCACCGCGTCACACAGAGCACGGTACGTGTATACTATAATGCCAACCTGCATAAGAATATAAGAATATATTTCAGAATGTCAAAATATATCAACTGGACTAAAAGCAACCTAGACACAAACAACCACAATGTTAGATTTTATTGATATTGCTACAGAGAAATTCTGCTGTAGATTTAGATGGCAACATTACTACTGGGTAGTGTTTGATGTTTAGAGACGTTTACGAGGGACAGTGACTAATAGGGAGTTTTTACACAAGGACAGAGAGATGAAAACACAACATGAGTAAAAAATTTAACTAGCTTCAGATTCTCTAAATCTTTCCTTCGTGTTCTCTCTCTCTCTCTCTCTCTCTCTCTCTCTCTCTCTCTCTCTCTCTCTCTCTCTCTCTCAGTCAGTCTCAGTCTGTCTATCTTTCTTTCTTTCTTTCGTACAGTTCATGAACCAGTGCTGAACTGTGCATGAACTCATTTGTCAGGATTGCTTATTTAATTTTTCATAAGACAGCCCATCTAGTGTGTATGCACAGTGCTAATCTTTGTAAGGCAGAGGGGCTGAAATTGATTTGAAGGTTTTTAACTTGGAGTCTGGCATTGGTAATTGACTCTGAACTGAATTTATTTGCATTGAGCATTTCCAATTTAACACCAGAATACAAACTTAGTACTTCAACTCTGCTATAATTATACACTGATATGCATTCACCCCCTTCTCTCTCCCCCCTCTCTTTCCCTTGGCACAAAGACAGACAGTCCAAGAGTTTGTTTACACAGAACTCTGTCTGTTAGTGTGTGTGTGTGCATGCATGCACATACACTAATTTGTAGAGTGTGTCAGTATCTGTACTAATTGGCTGAAGGAGCGCGCTGCTGCCTTCTACTTCAGCAAAGCATTATGGGTAGTGGGGAGGGACTTATCAGCAAGGCACACACTACTGGGCTTTGAAATTAATTAACTTGGTGTGTCGTCCCATAAACACACATGCATGCACACTCGCTCACACACATAGTCAGAAGTGTATGGTGTTGGTGATAATGATAATGGTAATGAATGTTGGCCAGTCACAAATTTTTTCTATCCAGTTACTGCCGCTGAGTTTATGCTGAGTGAATGGATCTCTAAAGTAGCTGTAGGCTACGTGTGTGTGTCTGTGTGTGTGTTGTGTGCATGTTGTGATAATGCAGAGTCTGAGCTGATTAAGTTTTAGCCTGTTAGTTGAGGCATTTTCAGAAAAGAAATGTTTTTTGGACACCTTATGGAAAACATTAAATTGAATTATTTTTTTATTTATTTGCATACATTATTTGGATACATTGCAGTGATATATTTTCATAAGATATATATATATATATATATATATATATATAGTGTTTTTCTCTTCATACTTATTTCATACTACATGAATTAACCTACATATTTGGGATGCTAGGTGTTACTTTGCTACGTGAAAGTCTGTTCCATAGAGCTGACGGGTATTTAAATTGCAAAGCTTAGTAGTATATTGGACTGTACACCAGCAGAAACATCCATATCCAGTCAGGAAGACTTTCACTTTATTCATTTGTGTTTTTATGTTTTGTAGGATTTGGTGTTGCAAGTGCTGCGTTGTCTAGAGAGTCCATCCACTGTAACAAGAGCAAAAGCATTACTACTACTAATTCTACTAATACAGGACAACACACACACTCTGCTTTACTGCTGTCAACACAGGTAATACACACTCAACCACACACCTACACACACAAGTGTGAACACGCACCAAACACACAAGGTCTCTTCCTCAAGAATACGTAATTAAAACATCCTCTTTACCTGATTATTATATATACATTTGTGAGCAACAACTACAAAGTATGGTTGTATGAAAATTGACCCATCTCATATGTCTAGTGGATATTCGAAGGTGTTCATAAACAGCTCTTTGAGTTAGATGATCTAAATTTCTTTTTAAAGCATTGTGAAAGCAAACATTCTCTATGAGACCCGACCCAGCAGAGAAGCAGCTCTGGAATGGAGGATACACCAGATGTGATAAAATAGATAAGAGATCAGTGGTTGATCTATCCTGTTTACTTTGGAGGCACACCATTTTTATGTCATAACACGTGGATCCATCTTAAGACTGATTTAACTGATGTTTTACCACATAGTATATCCCCTGCACCTGCCTACTGACTGACTGTACTGAGATTTGGACAATTGAAGCTTACTTAAATCTCCACTCAGTCTGTCAGACCACTGGCTAATAATTTTCTCTGGAATGTAGTTGCCCATGTTCATATATAGACTGTCAGAGAACAAACAAATAACATCTGTGAACTTCATTTCAGGGTGGGATTCCCCTTTAATTATTTAGCTGTAGCTTTCAGAGAGTGATCTCTTAACCAGCTACACTATAACTAAAACTAAATTCCCTCTTCAGTATATGTTGTTGTGATGGGGCAAATTTTAAGGTTTTTGTTTTTGTGGTATTATTCATTTGAAAGAAATGTGCATTTGTACTAACTACCACAATAATAACGTCACATAATTTTGTTTGGGGTGTATATAATGTCTAGTTCTAACCCTGCAGTCCTGTTAGTATAGTCCAGGTGGCTAGTGTGATTTATTGATTGCTGTGGAGGAAAGATAGCCCCCTCCTGTCAGTTTAAGAGCTTTTCATTTTGGCTAGGTGGTGTGCAGTAGCCCACTCTAAGAATGCTTCCACAGCAATTGACTTGATCTGAAAACATTATCTACTTGTGAAAGTGACTTGTGTTTGAGAGTTATAGGCAATAGACAGTTGAGCTGTTAACTGTACTGCCACACAGCAGATGACCAGGCCTGAGCATGTTTACTTCATAGTTTTCCAAGTTTTCTTGGGTCCACACTAAAATGCTAGACTGGAATTTTCAGATTACTCTGGAGAGCATTTTAGAAAAGCTTTCATTTTGGTTGTGGACCATAGCAGCTTAATGTGAACAGAGAAAAAAAGAAAAATTATTACATTTAACCGACTTAGTGTGAAGGTTTCATACAATAAACTAAGTTAAAGGGATAGTTCTGGTATCTTGAAATGGGACTATACTAGGGTTGGGCCGATAGATGATGCCATCGTCCATTTGATACCACAGACATTACGACGTTGTGCCGGCATCGTGATTTTAGCCACCCTCATGTAAATTTTTCACATTATACCTCCCTGTGAAAGGTTTTAATCCGCACAAACATTATTATTATTATTATTATATATTTAAATATACTGCTTTGCACAGAACTCAGTCTTTTTTCCATATTTTTCTACCTGCAATCCATTATCACGGCACAGCAGCAAGTGTGCTGCATAGTGTTGTAGTCAAGACCGCACAAACCAAGTCAAGACCAAGACCAGAGTTTATTGAGTAGAGACCAAGACCGAGGAAGGATGAGACCGAGTCAAGACCAAGACCAGTTCCCCACATTACATGACAAGCAATAAAATGTGGAACAAGATCACAGGTACTTCTTATATTGATCTGAAAGATCCACATTCCCATTGAAACACCCACATACAAACACTAAGAGCTTAAATCAACGTAAGTATCTTTATTCAACACACCTTTTCCATGCTGACCTTCGCGGGGAGGGGGGACAGTCATTAACGGGAACAACACATTTTTAATTAGGGTTATTGGTTTCATTTGAAGCAGTACATTTTACATCCAATCAAAGTTAGGATGTTAACAAATAAATCAGAAAATGCAAAAGCAGTTTATTTATAAAATGTTACGATCTTGATTGGTCTTGAAATAAAATCCTGAGTCCTCAAAGTTCGAGACCGAGACAAGACCGAGTGCAAATGCGGTCAAGTCCGAGTGGTCTTAAGACCGGTCTAGAGTACTACAACACTAGTGCTGCATGCCGGCTTGTTAATGATATAGCCTATCAATCAACCAAAACTAACATTGGCACTCTAGTGTCAACTGTTGCTTTACCTGGTCCGTGACTTGTAACGTAAGAGTACAGTTTAGAGTACAGTTTTTGGAGAAGCAGAGAGTTATGGGCAAAGAAGTGAAGCAACTTACTGTTGTGGACAAGGGTCAGCAGCAAAATTTATTTTAGCCACCTAAAATTTATGACTAGTTGGTATTTCAGTTTGAAGAAGATGCCAGAGATGCCTGACATATGAATCCTTATAACTCTCTATCTACTGTTCTGTTTGCTCTCTAACTTGCTCTATTTCTCTCTCTCTCCTTTTCTTGCTAAGTCTCTGAAAGGCCCACTGAAAAAAATCTATCTCAGTTCAAGTATATGCTATGTTCAGAATATTTCAGTGCTTTACCTTGCCATTAGACAGCCATTTCCTCTGGAACTACAATTGTAGAACTTTGCTTTCCTACACATAAGCGCAACTTTGCCACGTTCTAACACCAGAGATCAGATCCTTTAAAGATTAATTCAATTATTAAACCAACAAATGTAGCCATGCATTCTTCTGTGGAGTGATTCATCTTGAGGCAGAGGTTTCACATTCTCTCAGAATAAGCTAGTTATCTGTTGCTGTTGCTGCCTGGGGTTGTTGAAAAGGCAGTCGTACTCTCTGTAACCTTTGCGTTAACTAGCACAGCAGCCATGGGAATGATAATAAAAATGTATGTACCATGGACATTCATTGCTGCTGTATGTTGTAATTTTACTGGAACTTCAAATGGTTCATTAGCTGGTTGTCCTGTGTTTCACCCCACACTAACTTGCAACACAGCTGTGAATGTGCATAACCCGCATGATTAGATGCATATGCATGAAATATTTATATATATATATAGACATTAACAGACATACCCACACAGAGCCATTTCCCCTGGTAATTTATGACTAGTTGGTATTTCAGTTTGAAGAAGATGCCAGAGATGCCTGACATATGGATCCTTATAAATCTCTATCTACTCTTGTGTTTGCTCTCTAACTTGCTCTATTTCTCTCTCTCCTTTTCTCTGGTACTGCCAGATAAGCTTTTCCAGTAAGGTTAAGGTAAATTAGAGTTAGGCACAACCAATTATTTACATTTCTTTATAATTATTTTTAATCACCACAAATAAACAGGGTACCCGCAGGGTCTCAAAAGTATTAAAGAGGTGGTATTATGCTCATTTTCAGGTTCAAAATCTTAATTAGGGGTTGTACCAGAACCGGTTTACATGGTTTAATTTTCAAAAAACACCATATTTTTCTCATACTGCACATTGCTGCAGCTCCTCTTTTCATCTTATGTGTTGTACGCTCCACTCTTGAGTGATGCATCTTTATTTGTACAAAATCTTTGTTGGGAGTTGCACATGCGCAGTTCCCAGGTAAGGACTACTAATAAGAAGCAGAGAAGGGCGGGTCGTAAGAAACAAGGTAGTGTGATCCAAATCAAAGCCGCTTCAGACTGCAACTGTAACCTAGCAGATGGTATAAGTTACTTTGAAGTCCACAACCACACAACATCATTGTTCCACACCTTACCATTAGGACTAAACGGTGAACTGTTGCCGGTGTTCTGATGATCTATGCTGCCTTGCCGAAAAATGCTACCATAGCGCAAATCGATAGACTCGACTCTACTCGGCCCTGCTCCGTTTTCTTTTGCAGATAGTACCCAGAGATAGTATGTAGCTTGTCATCATAGCAACGCCACACACAACTGCCGCGATGTAATGTTCAATGCGACACACACACACCAGCGATCCACACAGCTTTCTCTTTTTTAAGGTAAAACGTTTGAACATTACTCAGAATGTAAAGACAGATAAGCGGTATGAAAACCTTACAGCTGTGTTTTCCTCTGCCGTTGTTGCTGCAGCGGTCTGTGTGACGGCGGGAGCAGAGGGCTCTGTGAGCGGGCGGCTGGACGGCCATCACTTCTTGTAAAACTGTTAATATTCGAAATCTACACAGCTGATTTCTCACCTCAAAACTTCTCAGAAGTGGATTTAGTGAAGAAATTCCATACGAAAACTGTAAAATATAAAACTTTCTGTTGTTGACCCCTGTCTGGTGCAGCAATGATGATGTGAATAGTCTCTCTGACCAATCAGCAGTCTGATGTGTTTTCACATTACATTTTAGTATCCCTCAGCTCGCTTGGAACCTCGAAAGAGGTGAGGTTATACGAAAAAAAGTACCTGGAAGCAGGTACAGGTATAACATTTCTACAATGGAAGCCCAAACAAAGGCGAGTCGAGCCAAAGGGCCTCCGCTCAGACTAGCTTGGTTTGAGGGCGTGCCTCACCCCCGCTAGCTGCTTGGCAAGCTTTATGACGCGTTTTCATTGTGACGTCACAAGTAAAGGAAGTGAAGGGCTGGACTACAAACAAGCTGTTTTCAAGCGGTTCAGAGCAGAGTTTTCTGTGGGAGATGGGAACTCCCTTTGGGCTGGACTTTGGGCTTTTTCACTTTGCAAACCTGTTACATGCACATAAAAGATTTATAACTCAATAAAGGAGAGGGGAAAAGACAAAAAGCATAATACCACCTCTTTAAAAAAGTATTGAATTAATATTCTCAAAATAAGGCCTTTAAAAATATAGAATTTTGTTTACAAAGGTCTTAATTTATATTGTCGTTTTGTAGGATTAAACAAATACCGAAACATCATAAATAACTGCCAAATGTATAAAATGTTTTCTGTGTGTGTAACATTAATGTACATGTTAATTAATGTATTAGAAATAACTACTTGCATGCCAGTAAAAGCAAGTGTGACATAA